GTGGCACGTCCTCTTTCTCTTCGGAAGCAGGATGATGGGACCCCTTTGTTCCACTTTTAATTCATAGCGGAAATAGTTGCCGCCGTAATAGGACGGTGATGTCGGGTGGATAGTGCAAGAGGATCTGGGTTTTCCAAATGTACCAGTCGAGTGTCTGCGTCCCGTCACCCAAACCACGCTAAGCAGCAGCTTCTCAGCTTCGCAGCGCGTGCCAGCTCCACCGCGGCGCTAGCTCTGGCCCTAAAATCAGGGCTGTCCCTCAGGTCTTCGCTGGCAGCCGCGAGCCCCCCGTGGCACGTCCTCTTTCTCTTCGGAAGCAGGATGATGGGACCCCTTTGTTCCACTTTTAATTCATAGCGGAAATAGTTGCCGCCGTAATAGGACGGTGATGTCGGGTTGATAGTGCAAGAGAATCTGGGTTTTCAAAATGTACCAGTCGAGTGTCTGCGTCCCGTCACCAAAACCACGCTAAGCAGCAGCTTCTCAGCTTCGCAGCGCGTGCCAGCTCCACCGCGGCGCTAGCTCTGGCCCTAAAATCAGGGCTGTCCCTCAGGTCTTCGCTGGTAGCCGCGAGCCCCCCGGGGTGCTGGAGATGTCGTGCCCCTCGGTGACGACGTCCCTGCTTTGAGAATAACATGGGAACCGCGGTGGCCGCTGGCCTTTCTGCCTCGTGTCCCTTTGGCCCTCAAGGAGAGGATCACAGTGGTGGTGTGAAACTCGGGGACCCTACACCCTTGATCAAGCACATAAATCCCACTTCTGACCAAGCACATAAATCCGAGATATGTTGGTAAGATCTTTATGTTTCACAAACTGAAAACAAAAAGTTTATTTAAAAAGAGGTCCCTGATCGCATTCAATGGGGGTTGTTTTAAATGGGTCTCTATACAGAACAAAAATGATACAGGCTTCTTTTTTTTTTTTTTTTAACAGCCTTGTTGAGATACGGGTCACGTACTGTACAATTTTTCCATTTAAAGTGTAGAATTCCGTTTTTAGTTCTTAGGACAGTCGCGGAGATGGGCAGCGGTCACCACAGCGCATCTCGGGACGTTTTCATCGCTCCGTGAAGA